TTTTGCTGCTGTAACACCACAGTTTCCCCTTAGTTGGACAATAAAGGGATTTTCTATTCTATTCTTTTCTACTCTGCTCATGTCCGATGATGACATCAGACGAGCAATTTAAAATGTAAAAAGAATCAAATTGTCTCAGAAAAGTCATAAAATAATTTTTTTAAAGATGTAGTGTAGTATTCTTTAGTGATTTAAGGATAGAAAAAATACTTGTAGTACAATAATTATGTTATTTATGGCGACCTGGATGAATACGTACTTGCACATGTGCAAACACTGGAAAAAGTATCTAGAAATAAGTAAAAATGTCTTAAATTGAGTGTATTTATTTGAGTAGGTAAATTAGATGATTTTCCAATGGAATTAGTATTTTTACTCTTAAAATAAGATATTTAGATAAAATGCACTTGAAATAAGACAATGCAATTGTGTTTTCTGATTTTGAATATATATTTCATTGGTAGAATGTCTTTTTTACCTTCTCAATTCAAGAACAAATACACTTATTTTAAGAAAAAAATCACTAGATTTAGATTTTTTCAAGTGAATGAGCTGATCGTGCGGATTGTGCTTCCAGTACAGATCGTGCTTCGCGGATCGGGTTGTGACATGGGCTTCTATGTACATAGCGTAGCATGTGACTCCATAATGCTAAAAATATGTATTTGCTCCTACATTAAAAGGAAAAAACAAAAACCTGTATATTTGAACATTGTTGTCTGTTTATATTATATCTCAGATTATCATTATATTATCAAATCTCTGCAGGGCTGCAGATTTCCTACAGAAATGTTCAACATGAGAGAGAATTCCCTGCATCCTTGCTTGTATTTTAATACCCAACTAAAGGACAAGAGAGAGTTGGATAAAATATGTTGTTATTAAATATTTGAAAACAACCTCTAGCCAGAAATATTTATCTTTAGGCCTCATATATGTAACCTGTATTACCTTGCTTCTACTTGGTTTTGTTTTTAGCAGCGATCATCACATGCAGCTCTCCACAGGACCTGACTGTGTGAAATTATTCATAGTGTAACCTAATTTATCGCTAAACATGTGATCATAAAATGTGATCATAATAAAATAGTTAATTTAAAATCCTTCTGTCAGCCAATACATAACGTTTATCTTGATGCGTTGTAAAATCACCTTGTCATGCTTTCTGGCTCACTTATTTTTGAAGTTTTCAATGTTTTTCCCCCAGTTGCTGTCTCTGTTTTTTTCTGATTCTGAGGGATTTTTTTTGTTCCTGAAGCCTTCCAGGTTTCTGTTTTCACATCTCTTGCCAAGTCGCTCCTCAAGTGGCTTTGAGGCACCACATCACCGGTACTGCTGTAAGGGAAGTTTTGGAATAGCTTTCTAATCTATTCACAGCATCTGACGGAAACTCAAGGCTGATGCATAATAAATAACAAGAGATAAATGTTGAGAAAGAATCTGACACCTGGGCGCCATCTGTGTCAAGAAAGTTCTAAGATTTTTTATTTATTCTTTTGTTATGATAAGTAACACATTTTCAATAAAAAGCTGCTTTTGTGACTCAAAATGCTTGCCGAAGAGGTTAACCTGTGCTGCAACCACTGAGGTTCCCATTTTCATTTTCATTTTTAGAAGTAAGCACCTTTCTTTGTTGTAAGTGAGCTGTAGGAGAGAGTTAAAGCTTTGTGACAGAGATGAGTCACTAGCATGGAGGGAAGCAGAACACAGGGATCCAGTCCATCATCATCCTTCTCTCAATCTCCCCCGCAGTGACTTTAAAGATGAAGGGAGTTGCTTTGTCCTCAAAACGGTCAAAAAGCCTCTTATAGCAGAAAATGACTTTTTGCCAGCCTTGTAGAAAATCTATTAGCTTTCCATGTTTTTTGATCTTGTTTTTATTGCTGGAAATAAAAGAGGTAGTTCTATAAGGACAATTTTAATCAAGTTAACCCTGGATGGTTTAATGTTATTTAATATTTTAAGGAAAAGCCTGATTATAAATGCAAATATTAGAAAAAAATAGTGTGCTATGTTATTTTTTTTTTTTATTTCTTTGTTTGATATTGGAGCTTATTGCAAAGTTACTATTATGATCAGTGTTTGAGGCATTACTAGTTACTTCTCCAAAAAGTCACTGAGTTTATAACTGCAGTTACTTCTTCCTATCTAAAATGTTTTAGAATTTAACTCTCTTGTTGTTGGAACTTTAAAACTGAAGGTTTGGTGGTTGGATTTTAAATTTTTTTGTTATTCATTAAAGAATAAAAAAATAGTTAAAAGAACTAAATACATGAAAACACTGAATGCTGATCTACAGCATATTAATGCATGTGGCTAGACAAGTGACTTTGTTAGTTATAGACGAACTGCAAAAACAGATGTATACTGTTGGTTGTTGACAGCCTTTAACTTGCTATAAATTAGGTTTAAATATGATTTTTTTCAAGTAATTTAAGAAAACTAAAATATATTTTGCTGAAGAAATAAACAGGGGTTACACTATACCAGAAAAAAAGAACAGCAGGAATTTATAAGCCCATTATTTCTGTATTAAAAAAAACAAAAAAAAAAACACAAATGTGTAAGTGAAATCTAAACTTTCGCTGCAAGCTGGATTGTTGTGAGGTCTGAGATCACAACAAATCCATCTTGAAAGACTCCTGTTTACACGTCTATCTCGTAACAACCAGCGAGTCTAACCAATGGCATGCCAGAAATGTTTCTTTAGGCGGGACATGTAGGAATGTCGACAGTCAGAAGGGCCTTGCCGGGTCATTAAAAACATAGCTACCCAGGAGGACTCACCTGTCGATCCCACAGTTTACTTGGTTTTAGCTGAAAAAGCAACAATTTCTCATTTAAAAAAGAGCAAAGAGAAGCACTTTGTGCATTTTTACATCGCAAAGATGTCTGTGTTTTTCTTCCGACAGGATTTGGAAAAAGTTTGATTTATCAAACGAAACGTGAATTGGCTCTACGCTATTGCCTGTCCTCTAAATCTGTTTTCAAGACACGCCCACGTTAAGGCTCCTCGGCCAATCGCCTTCACATATCTCAGCATCGCAACTCCCTGCTCCTCTTTGCCCTGTCTGCAAAGTCTCTTTGATCAATGAGTTAAAGTAATGCACTACGTTAGATCTTAAGTAATGTGTAGCAGTGTTTAGCAGTGAAAAGTAGTTAGATTACTTTT